GATGGATGGATAGATGGATAGATAGGTAGATGGATGGATGGATGGATGGATGGATGGATGGATGGATGGATAGTTAAGATAAGATAGTTTTATAAGTTTTTCCTTTGAAACAGGAACCCATATAACCCAGGCTGGCCTCAAACTCACTTTGTAGCTAAGCATGCCCTTGAATTCCAGTCGTCTTACCTCCAACCATCTTGTGCTGGGGTTATGGGAGTATACCACCACTTCTTGCACATTTCCAAAATAGTATCATCTTATTTATTTTGTAATTCTGTGAAATGAACCCAGGGCCTCATTCATTCTAGACAATCTGTACTTCTAAGCAACATCACCAGCCCTCTCTCCAGTTTTCGTTTTGAGGTAGGTCTCATTCAGTTACCCAGATTGAACTCACTTTGTAGCTCAAGAAGTCCTGTAACCTGTGATCCTCCTGCCTCAGCTTCCTGAGTAGCTAGAATTAAAGGCCTGTACAGAGCCCCCCCCCCAAAAAAAAAACCTTCCATTTAATCTGTAAAAGCGGGTTGGAGAGATAGCATAGTGGCTAACAGAAATTTCTCCTTTTACAGAAGACCCAAGTTGGGTTCCCAGTGCTCACAAATTCCAGGAGATCCAACACCTTCTTCTGGCTTTCCTCACCCACCTGCTTGCAAGTGACAGACATACATACAACTGAACTGTTTATGTACATGTGTATATGTACACTCGTGTATGCACATGTACACACACACCACACACACACACACACACCACATAAAATAAATGAATCTTTAAAACAAAACAATTTGTAAAATTATCTCTGAAGAAAGTGCTAATATAAAGTGCATGTAGACTGCAGGACCATCTTTCAAGTGACAAACAGCAGCATGGACCAGACAGTGCGCCTTGTTACCTACTATACCTGGACAACTCATAAAACTACTCTAAAATCCAGTGAAAAAAATAAGTCTTGTTTCTGCCCAGGATATCCATTAGGATGAAAAAGTTAAGAGGTTAGTTGGCTGTTATATATGTGATGAAAATTTTTCACACTACCAACTGCTAGGAAGTAGACACTGTATGGTTTTGCTTCCACACCCTTAAAATGCTCCACAAACCTGTCAATAGAATTATGAGGATACTGAGACTTAGGAAAGGAAAAAAGAAAAATGGGTCTAAAATGGACCTGATGGGGTCCTGGCTGTCAGCTCAACCTCAGCACCCACCCTGTGCCACCATCCTCTTCTCTAAGCATTGTTCAGAGGCACATCTTCCTCGCTTGTCAACCTAGGGTGATCTGAGCCCCATAGCCCTACCTTTACAGTAGTGTATTCCTGGTGGACATTTCCAAAGCATTTGCCACACTCACCCACGTAGCTCTTCCACCTGGTGCATAGCAGGCACCGCCCTCTAAATTAAGAACCTCAGAGCCTAGATCTAACTTGACCGGTGTCCTGGGCAACCTGCTGCGCAGGCGCTCAGGGCCTTTTGCTCTGCTCTGACTCTCCGCGGCTCCGTTCCCTTGGCAACGCTGTACACAGCTAATCCTAGCACCCTGCAGGATGTGCTTCAGCAGAATAGGTGAGGAGAGTAGCAGAGGACTACAGAGCAGACAGCAGAAGGGTAAGAAGAGCAGGCGAGATGAACACGGAGGAAGTACCGCTTGCTCCCCCGCTCCGTGGAGTTACACCTGCTTTACAATGTAAGAGTTGGCAGCATGGTCCATCTGCCCCTGTGCTTTCCTCCACTCACATGCTCACCTGGAGTTTCTTCTCTTGATCTTTAGGGAAGGTGAATAATTACTCCTTTGGAACACGTCAAGCGAGGAAAATCTTTCCTCACTACCATCCCCCAACCTGGCTGGGGAACATGTATCTCCCTCTTAGGGGAATGCCCCATACAGGCCCTGGGTGTTATGCAGCAGCAACAGATGTGAGTATTCACTTCCCCTTGAATGGGTCTCAGTTTCCTGTCTACAGCAGGATACATAGGTGTTTTGGGAGAAAAACTACTCTATGTGTAACTTTAATTTCTGGGTCCCATTATGAAAAGTAGCAACCAGCTGTAGAGTCGATGTGTAAACGACCATAGTTCACCACTTTCCATCCCCCACTAAACGCAAGCCTTGTCTTCATATAATCCTTCTCCATCTTCACTTTCGGCACCCTCTTGAACTGATGTCAGTTTTCTTCTGCTTAGTACAGTCCTCAGGCTGACTCTTCCATAAAAGTAAATTCAGTTATTGGAAGCTCTGAAGATGGAAGTCATTGGGACTCACAAAAATTCATTTGTTTGTCTATCCAGCCAAGCCTCTTTGCAAAGTTACTTGTGTTGTTTGTTTAACTCTATGCTTTTGACTATAAAGGAATCAAGACATAGGGAGAGGGCAATGTCTTGCAGGGAAGTTTACACATTCTATATTCACTCCACTTTGAAGGCCATTCTATGACTGTGTTACTGATGTTTTTCTTCTTTCTCCTCCCCTCCTTCCCTCTTTTCCTTCCACCGGAAGTGGAATGGTTTGGCATATAATCTATCGAAAGTCCCAACCAGTACAAAAGGCTATGCTATTGGAGCCAGAACAGCTGTGAGATTTAAATCAATCAGCAAGGTAATGTTCTATGTTGAGGCATTAGCACTGTACACAGGTAGATTTGGGGTGTGGGGGGGGAGAAAAGCACTTCACTAAAGAAATGGGCCCAAGGCAAGGCTTTAATGATAACCCAAAGTTAAAATATAGAACCTATGTTTATATACATCACATTATCTTGTCAGTTAAAGGGCAAATTCCAACTTTTTCACTTTGTGGAATATGTGCCTGGTTAGATTTCAAGTCCAATTATGAAAAAAAATCCTTGTCTTTCTCAGACTGCACCAGGCAAATGTGCGTCCACTGAGCTATAGCCCCAGGCTAAATAAGATCCTACTCTCTTGTTGGGTTTTAACATGGACAGTCAATGACTGGAGATACTAACTATAAAATTCTCCCAGTGGTAGACTGTGCCAACTTATGGTGATTCTTTACCCATACTAAGTTCATTTCTGTGTGTTGTATATTGTCGTATAGCTACACCACCTCCATACTAAGTTTTTGCCTACATGGGCCTATTTCTACATCTTTGGCACACTGACCTGTCGCTGATTTATAAACAGGATAAAAATGATTCTGTTTTGTTTACCTTAAATGATTTGTGTTAAATTTTGTCTTATCGAGACATAGATTATATCTTATTAGATATACCTATATCTAATCCACTAATCTTTTTGTGCTTACAGGATGTGACACCATACCCAGGAATGTATCAGAAAGTTGATACTTTGGGTGAAAAACACATAAAAAGCTTTGCTCCATTTAATGTCTTGATGCCTCGATTTAAGAGTGAAGAAAAGTGTGATTCTTACCCTGGGTATGTCTACTGCTTAATGTGCATTTCGAACAGAATTAGGAAAAGAATTATATAAAACAGGAATTATATTCAGACTTTCCCAGCTAAATCTTTAAAGATTTGATCCCTAACTTTCCAGATCTCTGGTACTGTTTAACTGTAGAATCAGTTATTAATTCAATAAATATTTGCTGATGTATCAGGCGGTTTTGTAGCATCCACAAATCATTCAATATACCCATCAAACAGGGATCCTGATCTCTTGGAGATTACATATTGGAACTAACAAAATCAGACATAAATACTCAAGAAAATATCAACAATAGTAAGACTACTAACCATATAATTTACTAGTCAAACTGCAATAGTTCCAGGAGTGAAGTAGGCCAGGTGACAGCTACCTCAGGACAGTAGCATAAGCTCTACAATGCTCATACCTGAACTTGTAGTAAGCTGGTGTTATCCTGTGGAGGCATTAGAACAGGATCTAGAGTAATGAGCTGGAGGCTACTTTATCTGAGGTTGTTAAGGAAAACACTCAACAAGTACTATTCAACCTGAGACCTAAGCAAATAGATTAAAGTGTGAAGACAGCACACCTCAAGTGCAAAAACTGTAAACTGGGAAGGAATTTGATGAGATAGAAAAGGGAAAGACATTATCATGGCTAAGATATAGTGAGAAAGAAGGAAATATGAACAGAAGGGCAGGCTAGAGTATTGAAACCTTGTAAACCAGTGGGGTTTAGTCTAGATGTATATGAACCCATTCAATATATATAGCTGCAAGGGAAATAGTCAAAGTCTTTCCTTGACTGATGAGAAATCCAAGGTTCAGAGAGTACAAGTAACTTTTTCAAGCTTGTGTAAAGGAAGTTAAAGTGTTAACCTTGATTCTGTATCTTCCTCTAAACTATCCCTCACAATAGAGTCTGTAAGAGCATTACAGGCAAAGGCAATTCAAAACTAATCCCATTGTCAAGAAAAGCCACTGGTTCTGCTTCACTCTCCCTAGATTGTAGGTAGGTTGTCGATGAATATCTTTCACAAGCTTCCAGTCTTAGGCAACACTAATCTATCATCACTGTGGGTCTCTGATGACTCACTCTTCTGGTATCCTCTGGTCTGTCGGCTGAGGACACTGAGTTACAGAAATATTCTTAAACTAGAGTCTATCTTTACCCTGCTTGGATGTTGAGGCTGGTTGTCTTTAACACTGGCAACCTAATTAGAAATATAATAACAGGGAAATGATGCTCATGTTTGCCTGACATTGAAAGGTTAGTCCTCTTTTCCCAAAGACTGGTAAGATGTTTTATTCAGTCATCAACCATGATATCTGTCTTTATTTCTATTTATTTCTAGCCCTGGCACATACAATCCAGAGAGGAAGTCAATCCCAAAAGTTACATGGCCAATGAAATTTGGATCTCCAGACTGGTCTCAGGTCCCATGTCTAGAGAAAAGGACTCTAAAGGCTGAGGTAATAAGACTAGCCTTTAAAACACTGCTCTGTCTAGTACTACATGCTATACATCATTTATTCTTAACCAGAAGACTGTAAGTGAAATTTAGAAAGTTCATGATCCCCTGAAGTTATAGCGCGCGCGCGCGTGTGTGTGTGTGTGTGTGTGTGTGTGTATCTTTTTGGAGTTATACATCTGTATTAACATTTTATAGATAATTATGATTAATAAAATATCATATGGGCTGGAGAGATGGCTCAGTGGTTAAGAGCGCTGACTGCACTTCCAGAGGTCCTGAGTTCAAATCCCAGCAACCACATGGTGGCTCACAACCATCTGTAATGAGATCTGATGCCCTCTTCTGGTGCTTCTGGTGTGTCTGAAGACAGCTACAGTGTATTCATATATGATAAATAAATAAATCTTAAAAAAGAAAAAATAAATAAATAAATAAAATATCATATTTTATTTGTTCCTGAGATAAGGGAATAACTGCTCCTGATAATCCCTTAAAGTAAACAAGGAAAAAATATCCTATAAAACATAGGAAGATTCTGAGAATAGTAATGATTAGGTGACTGGGCAGCTGCAATTTATATTTATAACTCCTGATCCACTGCTCTTTCTGATATATCACATGTGAAACAGATCACTGCAGACATGGAGAGCATTCTGGGCAAGAACATGGAAAGTATTACCTGTCTTCAAACAAGAGTTCTGTCTTGGGTTTCTATATTGTCTTTAGGGGTTTTCTGCGCGTCAATTTTTATCTTCAAAATTGATTTAATAATGCAATTTATCTGGCATTGTTGTAAAGGTTAAAAACTGAAATATATGGAAAATCGTTTAATACAGTACATAAAAATATATAGCTAGTATGGGTTTGCCATCATAGATTTATGGTTTTTTCCTAGAAGAATTGATGATTATATCCACAAATATTTGTTATATGCTTAATATGTAGATATGCATGTTAGGACCTATGAGTAACATAGTTAAACATACAATCCTTGCCTTCAAGATGCTGATCAAATACTGAAAATTTTCCTCATAGCCACTAATTCCTAGCACGATGAACACCAGAGTATAATGTTCTCAGTTCACAAATGTTGAATCACTACACCTCAGTTATGATTGGGTCTGGCCTTACTTAGGCCACTGTGAAAGTTTCATTTCGTGTAGACAGGAAGATCAGAAGGAGAGGATTCTCACTGGGATACTAAGCTAGACAATGTTCTTTATTGCAGCTGTCCACAGACAAGGATTTTAGAAAACATCGGAACCGTGTGGCCTACTTTAGCCTGTATTACAAATGAGAAGTGGGCACTGTCTTCACGTTCTCTCCTGATTGCAGTCTCCAGAATTGAGGACATAATTGCTCTTGTATTTCTGTGTTCCTGGGCCCTCTTGTCTGTTCATTTGGTGTCCAGGGAGGGACAAGGGTCTCATAGTCACCTTCCAAATACATAAAGGCTGGTCCAGAATGTTCCTACTCTGTCTCTTTGTTTGTGGTCTAATGGTTCCTGTTGGGAGTCTAACCAGGTGGTTTTACTTTTGAGAAATGCTCAGGGATTCTTGACTACTACTTCTAATTCTCTGGCATCCGTCTTGAATGTTCTACAACTAACCTTGTCACTAGGTAGATCTTAGCCCCTGTATATCAAGGACTTAGATAGCATTTGAGCTTACAAAATATAGAAAATATTTAAATTATGTTGGGGAGTTCTCCCAAGCTTATGAGTTCTTTGGTAGAGAATGGAAATTTCCAGGTTCTGTTCTTTCTTAGACTGACATAACATTCAAAGAACCCAAAAGTCCTGTTACCAGTGACATCACTTGTTTAGCCTGTGTACTGAATTCCCACTTAATGACAGGCAAGTGACAAGCATTGGGAATACTAGAAATCAATATATACCAAACCTGAGGTCTTAGAGAAATTCCACAAGGTGGATAATAAATTGGGTCTGTCCATCATTTAAATGGTCCCTGAAAGTTTACAAGTGAGTTTTGGGGGTTTAAATAAGAATCCACAATAGCAGCCAAGCAGTGGTGGCGCATGCCTTTAATCCCAGCACTTGGGAGGCAGAGGCAGGTGGATTTCTGAGTTCGAGGACAACCTGGTCTACAGAGTGACTTCCAGGACAGTCAGGGCTACACAGAGAAACCCTGTCTCAAAAAAAAAATCCACAATAGCTGTGTATAGTGGCACACATTCTTAATCCCAATTTAATTTGAGAGGAAAAGGCAGACAGCATCCTGAACAACATAATGAGGACACCCAGAGCTATGTAGAAAGACCTTGTCTTAAAAAGTAAATAAATAAATAAATCCACAGCAGCCATGTTTAAAGTGTATATCTACATATCCAGATACTACAGCCTGAGAGGGCAAGCCCCTTCTTCCTAATGTTAAAATAACTCATACTTATTCAAGATTAACACTAAGTATGGCCTATCATTCTTTAATGTGGATGAGTATTTTATTTGAATGAATGTCAGTGTATCACACACGTGCCTGGTGCCCTCAGAGGCCAAAACATGGTCACTAGATTCCCCTGAGTCTGGAGTTATAGACCATTGTGAGCCACCATGTAGGTACTGGGAATCAAACCCAGGTCCTCTGGAAGAGCAGTCAATTCTCTTACCACTAAATCATCTCTCCCACCCCATGTGTGGCCCATCTTATCTTTTGTGAAAGTGTTTTAGGGTCCACTTGTAATCTCTTAGTAATTATAAAAAGGGACAAATCTTCAAGGGTCTGGATACCCATGAGTGAGACACAACCAAAGACAATAGGAAAGCCCTAGCCCACAGTAACCATGAGAGCCGCATAATAACTTTTAGCTATTAGAAGGAAAAGTTAGAAACAAAAGCTCTTGGCTGAACAATGCCAGAGAGGTCTAATTTCTTGAGGACTGAGGTTTTCTGAAATCATAGTGGCAAAGGACAGAAAAGTCTCTACTAAATATTTTTAAAAATCAGGCATAGGTGGGTGAGGAAATCCTTGGTCCAGCGAAGGCTGGATGTCCCAGCGTGGGGAAAATCATGGGTGGGGAGGTGAGAGTAGGAGGGTGGATGGGGGCATATCCTCATAGAAACAGAAGAAGGGTGGATGGGATGGGGGTTCCTGAGTAGGGGGGAAATGGGGAAAGGGGATAACATTTGAAATGTAAATAAAATATCCAATAAAAAAATTTAAAAAAAAATACCAGAAACTAAAAGGCATTTTTACTTACCCCACTCTTACTTACTTTATATAATCTTCTCTAATTTTTAATTACTCAGTTTAATTTGCAATGCTAGGCATTAAGCCCAGTGCTTTACCATGTTAGACAAATAAGTGTTAGGCCACTGAGTTATACCCAAAGCCTCCACAGTCCTCTTCTAATCTGATAACTCACAACTTATGCTTTCTAGTCAAGAATTGTTTGTCTTTATTGAGCTGAGCAAGGAAGTACATGAATGTAATTATGCTCACAAGCAGGGGACTAAGGAAGAAGGGCCATAAATTTGAGGCCAGCCTGAGCTATATAGTGAAACCTTGTTTTGAAAACAACCAAAACGAGGAACAGGAAGGAGGACTTCTTGTAAGATAAGGATCAGAGGCCTCACTGAAACTCAGTGATGAAAAACAGTCAAGATAGCACACAATAAGCTCTTCTATTAAAAGGGAAAAGATCTGTAAGTGAAATTATTAAGTCAGGGTAGGGTTGCAAGGAAGCAGGTGGAAAAGCTAAGAACCTTAGCCTGGAAACAAGTCTTATCTCAAGTTGCTGCTTAGAACAATAGGAACTTCATGAGAAGTGCATGCTTCTCATGCATACCAGGCTCACAAGAGGTCAAGGTGGAAAACAAGAAAACCATCAAGAAACGACTTCCAACCTCCATCCCTGCATACCAGAACCACAATCCACAAAATGTATGTGATGACTGTAGAGACCAAGGAACACCCTCTTGCCCCTCTTCCACAGCACCAAGTGAAGCAGAGATCTGACAACTTTCTCTTTAAACTCAGCTCAGCTGACTCCAAACTTATTCTGCAAATATTCTTTTTCATTTTATATTCTATTAACTAATCCATACCCTTGTATATATGGCTAATATTTATTTTGCTTTTGTTTGTATAATGCTCAGTTAAGACTTAAGATTGCCCTGCATGTTTCTCTACCCAGTATTAAGAATACAACAAGACACAAGAACCAAGGAACAGCTTGGGATGGGATCCTTTCGGTTTCTATCTGCTCTCTGGAGCTGACCCGGTGCCACAGCTCTCCATACCAGGAGGGAGCTGGTCTCCCAAGAGTGATGACATACCTGTGAGCACAGATAGAAGCACCACTTCTGCTCTGAGGGACCAGCCCGGAGCCCTCAGGACACAGGAACCAAGGAGCAGTCTGTGACAGGATCCTTCTGGTTTCCATCTGCTCCTGGAGCTAAGCCTGTACCCAGATCCCACCAGGAGAGAGCAGGTCTCCCAGGAGTGCAAAAACTCAATGAAATTCTGAATCCAAGAACACATCAAGGCCATCATTCACCACGATCAAGTAGGCTTCATCCCAGGGATGTAGGGATAGTTTAATACACCAAAGTCCATCAATTTAATCCACTATGTAAACAAACTCAAAGAAAAAAAATCACATGTTCATCTCATTAGATGCTGAAAAGCCTTTGACAAAATACAACACCCTTTCATGTTAAAAGTTGTAGAAAGATCAGAAATTCAAGGGCCACACCTAAATATAATAAAAACATATACAACAAACCAACAGCCAACATCAAATTAAATGGAGAAAAGCTTGAAGCAATTCCACTAAAATCAGGAACAACACAAGGTTGCCCAGTCTCTCTCTCTCTATTCGCTAAAGTACTCGAAGTAAGAGCTAGAGCAATCGGACAACATAAGGAGGTCAAAGGGATACAAATTGGAAAGGAAGAAGTCAAAATATCACTATTTGCAGATGATGTGATAACATACTTATGTGACCAAAAAAAAAAAAAAATTCCAGTAGAGAACTCCTAAACCTGAACTTCAGCAAAGCGGCTAAATATAAAATTAACTCAAGCCAGGCGGCGGTGGTGGCGCATGCCTTTAATCTCAGCACTTGGGAGGCAGAGACGGGCGGATTTCTGAGTTCGAGGCCAGCCTGGTCTACAGAGTGAGTTCCAGGTCAGCCAGAACTACACAGAGAAACCCTGTCTCGAAAAACCAAAAATTAATTAATTAATTTATTTATTTATTTATTTAATTAACTCAAACAAATCAGGAGCCTTCCTCTACTCAAAGGATAAACAGGCAGAAAAAGAAAATAAGGAAACAATACCCTTCACAATAGTAACAAATAATATAAAATATCTTGGTGTAACTCTAACCAAGCAAGTATATCTGTATTACAAGAACTTCAAGTCTCTGAAGAAAGAAACCAAAGAACACCTCAGAGGATGGAAAAATCTCCCATGCTCATGGATCAGTAGGATTAACATAGTAAAAATGTCAATCTTACCAAAAGCAATCTACAGATTTAATGCAATCCCCATCAAAATTCCAACTCAATTCTTCATAGAGTTAGAAAGAACAATTTGCAAATTCATTTGGAATAACAATAAACCCAGGATATCGAAAACTATTCCCAACAATAAGGGAATTTCTGGGGGAATAACCCATTCCTGACCTCAAGCTGTACTACAGAGCAATATGATAAAAACTGCACGGTATTGGTACAAAGACAGACAGGTAGACCAATGGAATAGAACTGAAGAACCAGAATTAAAACCACACACTTATGGTTACCTGATATTTGACAAGGAAGCCAAAACTACCTAGTGGGAAAAGAGCATATTCAACAAATGATGCTGGCTCAAGTGGTGGTCTGAATGTAGAAGAATGCAAATTGATCCATTCTTGTCTCCTTGTACAAAGCTCAAGTCCAAGTGGATCAAGGGCCTCCACATAAAACCAGATACATTGAATCTAACACAAGAGAAAGTGAGAAAGAGACTCAAACACATCAGCACATAGTGGCTCAGGCTCTAAGATCAACTATAGACAAATGGGACCTCATAAAACTGAAAAGCTTCTGTAAGGCAAAGGACACTGTCAATAGGACAAAAAGGCAACCTACAGATCAGGAAAAGATCTTTACCAACCCTACATCGAATTGGGGGCTAATATCCAATATATACAAAGAACTCAAGAAATTAGACTGCAGAGAACCAAATAACCCTATTAAAAACAGGGTAAAGAGTGAAACAAAGAATTCTCAACTGAGGAATCTTGAATGTCTGAGAAGTACCTAAAGAAATGTTCAACATCCTTAGTCATCAGAGAAATGCAAATCAAAACAACCCTGAGATTTCACCTCACACCAGTCAGAATGGCTAAGATCAAAAACTCAGGTGATAGCAGATGCTGGCGAGGATGTGGAGAAAGAGGAACACTCCTCCATTGCTGGTGGGAGTGCAAGCTGGCACAACCACTCTGGAAATTAGTTTG